CATCCCAAAGGGCTCCAGGACCCCATCCCCTCCACCCCAAAGTGCTCTGGGACCCTGGGTCTTTCCCCCTTCAAAACCCCTGCACGGACGCTCCAGGACACCCCAAACAGCTCCAAGATCCCATCCCCTCCACCGCCAAAGCCCCGTGGCCCAGCCCAGCCCCTTCCCCTCGCTGTCCCTTGCTCACTGCACATCCCACCCTCCCCAGCCCTGACCAACACCGGTGCCGCAGCAGGATCCGGCCAGGGGAGCCCATCACCCCGCCTCAGGGCTGGCGGGGAGGAGGCAAGGGCTGCTGGTTAGAAGTTTTCTTTGAAGAATCGGAAGCCGAAGCGCTCGCAGTGCACCCTGATGACCTTGGCAAGCGCCGGCGAGCCGCAGAAGAAGACCTGGACTTTCCCTCTCTTCTCCTCCGCCACCTTCCCAAACACCTAGGGCACGGGCGAAAGGAGAAGGGGAGGGGGCGGCACAGCCTGCTCCCACCCCGGGGATGGCCAGATCCCTGCCTGCTTTGGCGGCTGCTGCCCGGCCCAACTCAGCCTCCCCGAGCCCCCACGGCACTCGCTTTCCCCTGGGAGGGAGAGGCTTCCCTGGATCTGGATACCCTGGTGCATCCTCCTGCTCTGAAATGGGGTGTCCCCCTGGTGTGTCCCCCCCCCTGCAAAGAGTGGGTTTTGGGAGCGTGGTTCCCTTTGCACGAGCGTGATTTTGGTGGTGGGGCAGGGCCAGCCCTCACCTTGTTCCAGTCGGGGCGGCCGGGCTGGGTCCTGGTCCGCAGCCCCGTGATCGAATCCTTCTGCTCCTTGGTGGCCAGCAGGTCCAGGGCCATCTGTAGCCCGATGGCCTTCATGTCATTCTTGCTGAGGGCCGACGTCATGTACATGTGCATCTCCAAAAAGCGCCCTGGGTGTTCAAGGGGAGCCCGGCTGCAGCGTGGGGAGGGTCCAGCCCCTCACCACACCCCCTCGGGTCAGGCTGGGCTCTGCCAGGGGGTGATGCCAAGCAGGGGGCTGGGCACCCCGGGGTCGGGGGGGCTGTGCTGGCCGGCCTCTGCCTCTCCCACTCACCCCCCGGCTCCTGCTCAGCCTGCTCCATTTCCAGCTTCGTTAGCAGGCTGACGAACCACTCAAAGTGCTTCTGGTCCCGGTTTATCCAGATGAAGTCAACCTGGAAGGAGACACCAGCCTTTGCTTCGGAGCTGGCAGGGGCCAAATCCAGCCACCCACCTCCCCAGACCTCCTGGACTGGGAGAGGGATGCTTGTGGGCTCTCCACCCCCAGGACCCTGGCAGCCCTCCTGCCCCCGTGCCCAGGGCAAACCTCGGTCCCACGTCCCCCTCCGGCTGCTCCTACCTTCCTGAGCGTCATCTCCTCGTCCCGCAGGTCCTCGCACCACGAGTGGTGGCAGCTGGGGCAGCTCTGCTTTCGCCGGCGGTACCTGCACGGGCAGACGCAGCCCTGCCTGCCCCACCGCCCGCCACCCCTCAGACCCCAGCCGACCTCGACAGGGAGACCCTGAGCACCCAGTTCCTCACCAGCTCTGGGACGTGCCCGTGGCCAACCTCCTGCCAGCAGGTTTTCGGCAGCAGAAACCCCCAGGGGGAAGCCTGACGCCGAGGGAGGACCCAGCTTTGGGTCTCGTGGCCACGTGCAACGAGCACCAAGGTTAGAATTGAGGAGGAGCCACGACAAGACCTGCCCCACGGTGCTCATCCCGCAGGGAGAAGTGTTGGAGGAGGGGTCTACCACGGCGGACATCCCATCTTGTGCCTCCCAAAGCCGCCTCCCAGCTCCTACTGGGGGTCTGCTGGTGCGACCGCAGCTTGAGCTGCTGCCACGGCACCGACCTGTACATGATGCTCTGCAAGATGGAGGCGAAGGGGGTGATGCCGATGCCCGCGCCGATGAGGACGGCGTGCTCCGAGGTGAAGATCCGCCGCGTCGGGGTCCCGTAGGGGCCGTCGATGTAGCACTAGGAGAGACGAGAAACTCGGGGTGAGATCCAGCAGCCCGCGGGTGCTAAAACACCTCTTGGGCTGCGGGTAGGAGCAGGGTTAGGGTGCGAGGCGCACGGAGCCCAGGCAGAATTTGGGGTCTTTTACGGGAGTTTCAGGGGAGCAAAGGAAGAGGAGGACAGGGTGGGCAGGAGCGTGAAGCCCTCCAGCAGCGCAGGGCTTCCACAGCCCCATCTGCACACAGGGGCCCACACGTGGGGTGGCCGGGCACACT